AAGAAAGAAAGAAAGAAAGAAAGAAAGAAAGAAAGAAAGAAAGAAAGAAAGAAAGAAAGCAGTGTGTGTTGCCTTGGCACATCCATAGGGCTGCCATGTACAAACTGAACACCTGCACCACTTCAAGCTAAATTCTCAATGCCACTAGCAAGATAAAACCACTGATCTTGACATTGTTTTCTTAAGGGGTAGATACGGAGGAGCAACATTCAAACCATTTCTTATTCCCAAAGTTACAAGTAAGCACTGTCATGTTTGCTCAGTAAAACAAACAGTGCCTTGTGTACCTGTATTCATCTAGGAAACTACAGCAATCTGAACGTGGCCTTCTTTTAAAACTGACAGGAGACTCTGCATTATGATTTACACAATTATTTATACATGGAGAACAAAATGTTTTTCTCTTCTCAACTTGGTGACAGATTTACTCTGTCCTGGGGCCTTTTCAAACTATGAGCAAAACTAAAGATATTTAGTTTTGGGTTTAGAAAGTGTTACACCTTTCTAAACCCAAGTCACCATCACTGTCACAATATTCCATCCACAATACTGTATTCCATGTAATGTGAGGCCAGGAGATGAAGAGAATCTGTTCACAGGACTTTTTTTGGGGGGGAAGGGGCAAGTGGAGAAAAAAATTCACTGTAGCACCGCAAAGGGATAAAATAACAGAAAAGGTAGTAATGTGGTAGACCATATTGCCAGTGTTTGCCATTTTAAAAGAGTTTTACAGTCTTGCAGTGTCATTCATTACCAAGGAGTTTACACAACATCTAATGAAGAATAGCATTGTTTCTGACCATTACTAAGTTTATGCAAATCTACATATCATAGGTGATCTGAGAAGAATGGGGATTTATGTGTATTTGTCACTACTAATAAGTTAGGAGCCATAGCTAATGACGCTTGTGCCAAGGCACCCTAAGCAAAATAACTACTATCCTTGTTTGATAATTGTAGAAGACTCTTTTCCTCCAACATTAGTTCCGTTGCTATCAGCACTTACCGATGTACAAAAGATGCAGCTGCAGTCTTGGAGAACAGTCATCTTATCCAGTGAATATTCAGATAGGCATAGTTTACAAGTTACCAGAGGCTCCAAGGACAATTCTCCAACTTCGGATATTCCAGTCATCATGGTGCAATGACAGATGTTACCAGCAGAGGCCATCAACTGTACCAAGCTTATTAGTTCTATGAAAGATGTAAAGAGATGGAAGATATAAAGTATGAGTGAGCTACTAAGGATCATCCTGCTGGCTGAAATTCAATCTGATTTAGTCTAACACAATTTTAAGCAATTCGAAAACAATATATTGCAGAATCATTCTTCACCCTGATACTATCATTATGGGAAGTAAGCCAACTGCTTCTTAGAGGAAGGCGTTGGAGTCAGCTTCACTGCTGTTCTCATGAATTTTCTAGGCATGTTCCTCTGTTGGCAGGCAGTGTGGAACGTGCCCTATCATCAGTTCTGCGCACTCTAATCTAGTCTGCAACCTCAATTTAGTGTTAGATACTATTCTATTGGTAACATCAACTTCCAATCTAGTCATTTTCTTCACATGGATCTGGAACCAGGTGCCATCTTGTGCTTTCTCTGAGGCAGTCATATACCTTGGGCCAAACTTGTTCTAACCTATAGCTATATTCATTCATTTCACAGTTGCTATAAGAACTTATAATGATGCAACACACAAGGTAACCAGAAATGGGTTTTCCACATGGATGTCCACAATTGTGTGGCCCTTTCCAGAACCCCAGGACAGAGAGTTCATGGTCTCTACAACCCACTCTGCCCTCATGCTTCCAGCTGTCCCCAACAAAGCTATGACATAACACAACCCTTTTATTTCTATCCAACAAAACCAAATAACAAAGAGAGGGTGAGTGGGAGAAGGTCTGAAAACCAGAATGGTCGTGACTGAGCTGGCTTCTTCTTTTATGGTCCCAGGGGTGGTCTGGATTTGAATCAACTGATTCAGAGTGCCTGTGGGAGGAAATCCCTATTCTCAGCCCCCTGATTGGTTGGTTTGACATCCTCAGGATGCAGCAGGTCATTAGCACTGCATCCTGGACAGAAGACAGTTGGTCCCCAAATGGCACTGCTATGCAACCCTTGCCCCATTACTGGACAACGAATGCAGCTACCCGGTGAGTTGGGGGCTGTTGCTTATGATACGCCTCTCACCATATACACCGTAGTTATCAAGATTTTGGATGAAAGGAGGGATCATAATAGGCTGCAGCAAGTTGCTCAGATAAGTCAGGATGGCCTATATTTATAGCAGAGTGGTATCAGAAGTGATATTCCTGCAAAGAAGGAGTGGCTTGCCTCTAGCCTTCCAAATGTTGTTGCAAAACTCCCAACATCCGTAACTGCTTCCCATAGTGGATGGTTTAGGTCTGATGGTACTAAGAGTCCAACAACATCAGGAGGACCACCATCCACCATTCTAAAAGAACATTTAACCAGAGAAACACCGCTTCAGTCCATTTGAGAAGGGTTTGTACAATGGTGAGCTAGCAAATCAGTGGATTAACAAAAGAAAAAATGAAATAAACAAAAAAGAAGCAACTAAAAAGAGACTTTAATTCAGTGCTTTCTGAACCTAAAAACTCAAGAAAGCATTCATTCAAACATTTGACACTAGAGTGTGTTTTTTCTAGAAAAATGATGTAGCAATTTAATTTTTTTTGCAAGAATAGGTAAATTTATAATATCCAAGCCTTGCAGATCTTTTTGACTCTAAATCTATTTTAGAACTTTTAATTTTACAGATTCACCAGCCTTTAATGCCTTAAGAAAAGAAAAGAAGTTAAGAGCTTTTTTCTTAGCAGTGACATAATAGGAGTCCAGCGAAAATATTATGATAGAAAAATGCTACCACATAGCAGAAACATATCAACCTTCCCCAACTTGATACCTTACAAAAGTGTTCTATTACCACTCCCCTCGTCCCCAGCAAGCATAGGCAGTGGGAAGAAAGGTAGTTTGAAACCAGGATGGTCACAGATACTGCCTTTTATGCAGGACACATTACTGTAATATACTACTGTATTTTGACAAACTTCAGTGGCTTGCTTTCTCCCATCATTATATTCTTCCTATATGAAAATGGTGGGAAGCCAATACACATATCACCTCTGAACCTGTGAACATTAGCAAAAGAAGAACTCATACTGCAAATCACAGCTGCCCATGTACGTGCATGTTTTCTGCAAAGAAACCCTGTTCACAGACTTGAAATGCAATTGGGCCAAGTGACTCTTGCATTCCTGCTCCAGTAACAAATTACTATTGCCTGCCAATGATAAGATAGGCTTAAAACCATATTTTTAAAGTTTGGCATAAACACATCTCCTGTAAGAGGATTACACATCAGCTGGCAATTGTATATGCTTTGAAATAAACTACAGAGTCAAAGGTTATTGAGTTGCTGAATCTCTTCCTATGAAACTATTCACCTGCTTTTTAATACTTACAAAACAACTTCTGTACCCTTTAATGAGCCATTAACAACAAATAATTCCTTACTGGTAGAACTGGAATTTCAGCTATTGTCAAGGGTTTTGGAAACAATGCCTTTCAGGCAAGTCAGAATCCATAAGCCTCTGCTATATAATTGTCACAACAATCATTATCAGTGAACCATCAGCAATGTAATGATGGTGTGTCACAGGTTATCTTTACTTTCATCTGCATTCTGTTCTGAATCCAATAGCTCATGTTCTTTTAGCTGCAGTGCTTCAAAAGCCTACTACTGCCATATACTATGAGGTGTCCCATTATTGGTTCTTCCATGCAGTTCCTCATTTTATCCCAACAGCAAAACAGATTTAAAGTTTTACCATTTGGGCTAATCGTAACAAGATTTCAAAACGGCTGCCTCTACTTTAGAGCGGGACTATAATCTTGTGAACCATTCTGTGAAGTAGTGTTGCACCAAGTCAGCAGGTTTCCATTCCCCTAGATTTCAGGACAGGTGACTGACTTCTAATGTCAGGAAAGGTGGCAGTTGCCTGATACTTTGGCAGGTGCTCTGATACCTAGCAACCATTTGTGGGGAAGGGGGGTTCCTGCCAAATTACAGGATTGGTAATTCATTAGGTCCTAAAATCCCATCCCTGCTAAGGAATGACTCATAAGGAATGCCTCCACGGCACCAGTATTGACAGTGCAGACAATCAGGACACTGTACCCTTCCCCTTCCTCAACCCCAAAATGAAAACCACTGGAAGCAACTCCAGCTGCCATTTTACTACCTCCACTTAATCAGAAACCAACAATTTTAAAACATCACATAATTTAAGGCCAAGTCTGGAAAGCCTAAAACCAGCTTCTCCCACACACAGTGCCATTCCACTGAGATTCTATCCCATGTATACTATTACTGTTTGTAATGCTCCGGGGGGGGAGTGAGTGGGTGGCAAAATGGGAGAGAGCCTCCCTTGTTGGGCACCACAGTGGGAAACACTTGGCCTCAAAAGGCCCACTTAACTTCTTTATTCTGGTCTTTCACTAGCACTAATGCTTTACCCAATTTAATCTTTCGTTGTTTCTAGAACTGATTATTCTAATTTTCATATTTTTACCAATATGCTGTTTGTTGGTTTTTTAATTTCAGTAGCACAGCAAAGACTGTAAAAATATATACGTAAACCTGAAAATAAATGCAAAAGACCAGCCTGCATATGAGACAATATGCTGAAAGTTGCAATATCTGGACTTGAGATGAAATGACCTTATTACAAGGTAAATAAAGGCAACTATTCCAAGCATCACAAGCTCTCTTTCTATGTATGTATGTTTTTTTGTAAAAAATTTAAAAATGAAAACAAACAAAAAGAAAAACAAAATAAAGTGTCATGTAAAAAAAAGATTTCTAGTAGTGCGAGTTTTCATGAATTATAATCCTTTTTTATCAGACCCACAGAGTGCAATCTTCAAGCCACAGATGAGTGCACATTGTTGTGAAGGTGAAATTGGGATGAAATGGGATACAGAAAGTGGCATAATCCTGGAGGGTTTTCAGGGGCCTTCTTTTATTTTTATTAGGGCCTATAGCTAACAAAGATATAATTCCTTTTTCTAAGAAAGGAAAAAGAAAAGGTAAAGCTGTGGAGTTGAAGCATTTCCCATTTTCCTGGCATGTGCTTATAACAGATTAGAAAACCTTGTCTCTCACTTTTGAGGACTTAGACCAGCAGGCCTTTGTTTACTGAAAAAAAGGAAGAGGAAGAAGAACAAATGTCAAATCAGATTATTAGTATGATATTTTGCCTTTTGTTTACCTCGTACCCTATGCCCACCAATCATACTTCAGTTCCTTCGGAAATGCAAAATGTAGAGGTGACCTCTTTTGCTTCCAAAAAATGTTTCTTCTAACTTGCAGTAAGTGATAAGCTAGTTTCTGAATAACGAAAACGCTCCAGTTCCCCACTGTTACCCACTGCACTGAGATCACATGACATAGTAGCATGGTTTGAAGATTTTAATCGATGTAAGCAGATGTTCAAGAGAAGATAAAGTCAGCCTTCAGTGAACTAAACAGCCACGTTGCCACTAGTTTGATTTGCAGACTCTCACAGCACTGCCCATAATACCATCAGCATTTCTGTCCATTCCATGGACTGTCCATTTCTGTCCGTTCCATTTCTGTCCATGGGCTGCTTTGAATGATTTCTTCTTCTGAGTGACCTCCAGCACTGTTGAAGTGTCATGACACATCACATAAGCAGTAAAACATAAAGGCAGCCTTAGAGCAGCACAGAATCAGCAGATAGTGTGAGAAACCACATAAATTAAATTCCCTTTGAGATGTCCAGAACGATCTTTAGTGCTACAACAGGCAGGGCTCAAATCTCAAAAGTTATCCTGGGCATAGCCAAAAGCTTCTGAAAACCTGGAGGGGTTCATTTTACCTTTTGCTAGGCTATGATGCATATTAAGTTGCTTTTAAAGTATCCTTGATTTCAAAAACTGGCTTTCAATGTGCCGGCGGGGATAGCTGTTCCAGAAATCCAATCCAAAGCCTCTTAGGCTCCCATAACTAGTTATTCCTTTAGATTCTTTTACACTTAATTAAACCACACTTTCAAGCATAGCTGAGTTCCAGAGTATAATCCTACTAAAAGTTCAGTTATGAATAGTTTCTACATGGCATTGGCTGAAATCCTGTTGGTGAAATTCC